TCTCTAGCGTATAAATGAACAGAAACATAGGCTACTTTTTGAGAATTTTACAACTGAGATTCCGCTGTAACACACAGTTTGGTCACGTGTTTCCTGTGGAGCTCCACTTTACGCCCCTTAAAATCACGTATTTCCTGTGGAGATGACGTATTTCCGGTGGATCTCCACTCTACAGGCGTCTGCAGCTGGACCCTTCTCGACAGACCCGATACTTATGGATTGAGCTTCTTCCTGTACATGCTGAATGTATGTCAGATGGTTGCTCCCAGATTGCAATCTGTCAGAGAATAAACTGGTGACTTGCAACTACTCCTCGACTGTGCAGTGAATCTCTTCTCATCAACGGACCCGGCGGAGTTCTGACTCCAACACAATGCTACCGAGTGTGTGTGCGTGTCTCTCTCTCTTAAGCGGAGCTGTTTGCAGAACAGGGTGCTTAGCCTTAGGCAGCCCGCTCACTTGGGTAAACACTGATCCCGGATCTGTGGTGTCGATGGTGCCAGGAAATCCAACAAAAGCTTAGTAGGAGCTTATTTTAATTTTGCCAAACGATGCTGTCGATACGCTTAGTTTCTATGCATTGGTATGGAGGAAGGATCCGTATCGATGTCCTCCACCCTGAAAGTGGACGGTTTTATGTACAAACGGGAAAAATATTTCATAGGTTCAGTTCTCTTCCTGCATAGGTCGCCTTTTTCCCGTTTCCCGCCAGCTACTAGCCAGGGAGAGCCAACGAGTAGACAGTATAACACTTACTATAAATGTATACATTTTACCGTCACCATCCTGGTTACCTTTTATTGTTGCGACCCCCTGTCGGAAAATAACAATTTGACATAAACCCCTCCTTTGGTCTTATACAGCAAATTAAAAACAAGAGATTTAAAATGTAACGCAGTAACACTCAAGTCATTGGAACGTATTTATTTAGGCGCCACCTAGTGGAAGAGTGCGAGAGCCGGTAGAGCACACGCTAAACAGAGTACCAGTTTCTGTAGAAGAAACTTTTTTAAATAAATAAAAACGATGGACCACAGATTTAGTTAGATGTTGAGTCGATAAGTCATGACCACTGACTGTATTGCCAATATTGTTTTCAAATTGTTACACGGTGCTCAAATTCATACCAATTTGGTGCACCCATTCCTTAATATAATAATAATCTTGAACTAACAGATGATGGACATTTAATGTAAAATGCTAACCCAGGGGTGGTGAACTACATCAATGGAGAGCCGTTGTGGGTGTGGGTTTTTGGGATGACCGCTGCAACGCCTCACAGTGGTGGCTCTGAGGCTAGGGATTTGTACCAGCAACTGGAAGGTTGTTGGTTCAAATTCTGTGAATGCTCAGAGTGATTCTATTCTGTTGGGCCCTTGAGAAAGGCCCTTAAATTGCTTCATCCTGCGTATGATGTTAATCTACATCCAGCCCTATAAGGTGGTCCTCCAACGTACAAGGTATAACTTGGGGGTTGGCGGCAGGATTGTCACTCCAGCAACTGGAAAAATCCTCACACTGGTCCAATTGGACTAGTGTGGTGCTGAGGTATCACCTGCCACATGGCTGCACTCAGGTTCTCATCCCTGTGGTGGGTGTGGCAAAGCATTATAATCAGTCCATGCTCCTTACCTCTAAATCATCCAATAACAGTGGGTCCCCTGATGGGAGTTGAGAACCACTGTTTTATTACTGTCTGATTGAAAGGTGATTCCAAAAACCCGCACCCACGGCGGCTCTCAATGGATCCAGTTCACCACACTTGTGCTAACCAGTGTTGAGAATGCCACTGATGATTGGCTGTCAGTCCAGTCCATACCAATCGCCTCTGCAAGTCGGGTTTTGTACCTTCCATCCATTATTTAACAGCTTATCCTGCTCATGGCAGGAGGACTGGGACACGAACGAAACTATAGTTCCACATGCTGCCTGGATCTCATATTGTCTACAGACCAAGAAAAGTAAAGTGAAATACACAGGCCTTTCCAAGGGACTGCAATAGAGATGCCGTGCATCACATTGTCCATTAGGTGGCGCATAAGCACAGGATATAACGCAATCGGCGCGGGGTGTATTATATTATACTTCTCTACTAACAAGAGTTACGTAACTGCTGAGTGACGATTACTTAGATATGTTAACTTCATTGACTAAGCCAGCATTTATTTTATACTGGGCCTGGAAAAAACAGCGATGGGTAAACGCAGTCTCGGGATAAGGGAAAAATAAGACGAAGGAAGCGAAGCTATCGTGCCTATCAAAAACCACAAGTGACTTAAGTACAAAATAATAATGAAACTGAAATAGAACAATGGGACGACGCCACTCGAGATAAAAACCGTGGTCGGAAGAGTCTTCACAGCATATCACCACGGAGAAGTTAAAGTGTCTCCCCGCCACTCGACGTACAATGAAGTATCATGCAGGGTCAGCGTTGACCCCACACCGTGTCCTCTAACTCTTAAACCCAAAGGTCGCGTGGGTGTTTTATTCTCTTTTGTATGGTAAATATTATGTGCGAAATGGATCACAACTCACATAGTGGTCACTTAACGTCACCACTATGGCGCATGATCCTGTATACCATACCAAGTAGGTTTATAAATCCTTAATGCGAGTCCTGACAAAGTGGACATTGATTATGAACCAATGGAAAAATCCTTACCTTAAGTAAAATTCTGGATAAAAAATACGTCATGTTTGCCAGCACCGTCAGTCCGCTCTGCTCTGTAGTATAATGGTGTTGAAAAATCGATTCTCAGCGAACACAATGACATTTCTGTCACTTTCTGAATTCTGACATCA